GATGATGATGATGATGATAATGACGATGATGATGATGATGATGATGATGATGACGATGATGATGATGACGATGACGATGATGATGATGATGATGATAATGACGATGGTGATGATGACGATGATGATGATGATGATAATGTGGACGATGATGATGATGATAATGACGATGATGATGTGATAATGACGACGATGATGGTGTTGTTGTTGTTGTTGGTGGTGGTGGTGATGATGATGATAGTGATGATGATGAAGGTGTTGGTGATGGTGATGGTGGTGGTGGTGGTGGTGATGATGGCGGTGGTGATGATTATAAGGATAATAAAGATAGATAATATTTATCGCTAATCTTAAAGGTTTGTGTAGTTTATTCATGGTTGGCTTTTCTTGATATTATTTACTAGGTTATTGCTCTGTGCCCGGATCCTACCATACTGGAGAGTCTGCGTGAATGTAACAAACTGCTTGAACAGGTCAGTCTGGTTTATTCTGACTCACAATCATTTTAGTGTTACGTGATTTGTACCGCGTACTTGCTATACATCCGTACAGAACGTTTTCCACTAATGAGATAACCATTCCTATAAGAAGCCATTTCATTGTTACGGCATATCGTACCGTGTACTTGCCGTAAGTCAGTACCGTATGTTTTCCACTAATGGGATAACCATTCTTATGAGAAGCCATTTCAATGTTACGGCATGTCGTACCGTGTACGTGCTGTGAGTCAGTACCGTATGTTTTCCACTCATGGGATAACCATTCTTATGGGAAGCCATTTCAATGTTACGGCATTTCGTACCGTGTACGTGCTGTAAGTCAGTACCATATGTTTCCCACTCATACAATAACCATTCTTATGAGAAGCCATTTCAGTACTACGTCAGTACCGAATGTTTTCCACTCATTCGAAAATGCTCTCTGTGTACTCAATTCTAATGTAGAGGTCTTACTTAATAGGTTCAAAAGGGTCTCAGCGAGTACCTGGAGACAAAAAGATCAGCCTTCCCTCGGTTCTACTTCTTGTCCGACGATGAGCTACTGGAAATTCTATCACAGACCAAAGATCCTACAGCTGTACAACCGCATCTACGAAAGTGCTTTGAGAACATCGCTAGGGTAACCATTAAACTAACTATAAGGGGGGGAAGACTTACTAATTTGTCAAACTTACTAATATTGAGATGCTTTCACAAAGGGAAGCTTTTTTGCTAACTAGATTAAAATTCATAACTGGCTTCAGTACTTTGCTCATGTTTGAAATGACCATAGATTATATTCCCAGCTGTCGTCGTTGTGTTCTAATGACACTGTTGTCTTTGATTAATTAGCTGACCTTTGAAGAGGATCTTCGTATCTCGGCCATGTTCTCCGGTGAAGGTGAGAGTGTCAACTTCTCTACTGATCTTTTCCCAACTGGCAACGTAGAGGACTGGTTGCTGGAGGTGGAAAATACCATGAGGTGTAGTTTAAGGGATATCTTACGTGAAGCTTTGCGTGTATACCCAGAGGTGAGTCATATCACAGAGAAGGAAGGGAGGGGGG